TTTGCCTGCGCACTGTGCCTCCCATGACTGCTGTTGTCAGTGTCCCTGATCCTGTGGCAGGCCACTGCTGACCTATGCCTCCCCCAGAGATAATTGTTCTCCAGTTTGTGGATCGGGCTTCCCTGTGGCTCAGGTGGTGTCTATCTACAGTGCCGGACATCTGAGTTCCATCCCTGGGTAGGGAAGAGCCCCTGGAGCAGGAAATGGCAATCCACTTAAGTGTTCTTGCCTGGAAAAGCCCATGGGCGGAGAAGCCTGCTGGGCTTCTGTCCACAGGGTTGCAGAGAATTGAACATGACTGAGCAACTTCACTTTCACTTTCACTTTTGTGATTGTCCACCTGTTCTATGGTGGGGCTGATGGCGACCTCCTCCAGGAGGACTTACCCCACACATGGCACCTCCCAGGACTGCTGCTGCCAGAGCCCCTGTCCCTGCGGCATACCACTGTTGACTCATGCCTGTGCAGGAGACCCTCATGCACTCACAAGTAGGTCTGTCTCAGTCTTGGGGTTGCTGCTCCTTTCCCTGGGTCCTGGTGCACACGAGGTTTTGTTCGTGCCCTCCAAGAGTCTCTGGCAGCTATGGGGTTTGATTTTAAATGCAGCTGCCTCCCTCACTGTCTCGTTTGCTTCTCCTTTGCTCTCGGATGTAGGGTATCTTTTTTTGGTGGGTTCCAACATTATCCCGTTGATGATTGTTCAGCAGGTAATTGCAATTTTGGTGTTCTTGCAGATGAGTGCACGTCATGTAAGTGGTTGGTCTATAGCCTTTACTATGTATTTGTTTTTGTGGATTTTTTTTGTTTTGGTTTTGGAGTTTCTTTTCTTTTTTTGTTAACTACTCCATACAGCTTGTGGGATCTTAGTTCCCCAGCCAGGGATTGAATCCGGGCCCTCGGTGGTGAAAGTGCCAAGTCCTAACCACTAGACTGCCAGGGAATCCCCTATATTTATATAGTAGGATTTTACATTTCCTATAGATTTTTATTTTTCTCGTTGTAACCTTTCCTTTTTCTTAGAAACTGTCTTTTAGCATATCTTTTAGGGTCGTTTTTTTTAGGAGTTTATGATGAACTCTTTCAGCTTTTGCTTGTCTGAGAAGTTCTTTATCTCTCCTTCAATTTTAAATGATAATCTTCCTGAGTAATATATCTAGGTGGTAGGTTTTTTCCTTTCAACACTTTAATATATCATGCCAATCCCTGATTGTTTACAAAGTTTCTACAGAAGAAAAATCTAGTGAGCCTTATGAGGGTTCACTTGCTGCCTTTAGAATTCTCCCTTTATCTTTAACCTTTCCCATTTTAATTATGATATGTCCTGATGTACCTCTGTTTGGGTTCATTTTGTTTGGAACCCTCTATGCTTTCTGTCCTTGGATATCTCTTCTTCAGGTTTGGGAAAATTTCAGCTGTAACTTCTTCAAATATATTTTTGACCCCTTTCTCTCTCCTCCTTCTTGGACCCTGTAAGCAAATGTTAATATGTTTGGTGTTGTCCTAGAGGTCCCTTAAACTCGTCCCATTTTTTAAAATCTGTTTTTCTTTTTGTTCTTCTGATTGGGTGATTTCTATTATTTTGTCTTCCATACCACTTAAAATGTGTTCTTCTGTATCACCAAGTCTGTTATTTCTTTCTGCTGTATTTTTCACTTGTTATTGTATTCAGTTCTGATTTTTTTTTTTAAGTTCCTTGTTAAAGTTCTCACTGTGTTCATCTGTTCTTTTCCCAAGTCCGATTAGCATTCTAATTAGTAATGCCTTGAATTCTTTATTTAGTAAATTATTTACCTGTGTCATTAGTTGTTTTTTTCCATGGGTTTTGTCTTGTTCTTTCATGTGAAGCAAATTCTTCTGTCTTGTTATTTTGCTTAATTTTCTCTGTCTCTATGAAACTTGGTGAAACAGGTACCTATTGCAGTCTTGTAGGGGTGTCTGTGTTGGGGCATCCCTAGTCAGTACCAGGTGCCTTTGGTAGAAGAGCTGGATTTCATATGAACACGATTACATCTTCCTCCATGGAGTGCTGGCAGCTTTCACCTTACTTGGGTCTAGGGATAGAGACAGATGGGCTAGAACCAGAGTCATATGTGAGCTGGGGCTTCTCCTCTGCCCAGTGCCCAGTACCCAGTACCACCCGATTGTGGATGAGATCAGGTTCCATGTTGCTGGAACACAAGGCCTGAGCTGGCTCTGTTTTCTCTGAGTATGTGTGCTCCCCGTCCCAGCATTGGCACACTTGCCCTCGAGGGGGCTGAAGCAAGAGGGGCACGTGTGGGCACTTGTCATGGCTCGGGGTGCATGCCCTGGTGGTTCTGGCACCATTTTAGAGGACCAGACTGCTGTGAGCACCCACCGTGGTTGCCTTTCCCTGTTCAGGGGCTGCATCGGGCCTGAGCCGGCTCCAGCCCCTACAGCTACGCTCTCCACAGCCAGGGCAGCCCTTGCCCTAGTGTGGAGCTCTGCTGTGGAGCAGGCGGGGCCAGGGCAGGTGCTCTGTGTGGCTGGGCGCGCACCACGCATGCCCCATTACCAGTCAGAGCTCCGGCCTGTCCCAGTCCACCGCCTTTGCAAGCGCCAGCAACGATTGCCCCTGACCTGTTTGGACACTGCCCCAGATCCAAGCCACCCCGGTCCCCTGCAACTGTGCACGTCCGTTGGCTAAGGCAGCCCTTGTTATAGTGTGGAGCTCTGCCACAGGATGAGCCCAAGCCAGAGTGGCCGCTCAGCTCGTCCAAGGTGTGTGCTGGGGTGATCGTGGGAAACGGGCCAGAGACCTGCTTCCTCTGTCCTATTTCAGGAGTAAGCAAGCACATGCTCACTCTTCATGAGCGGAGTCTAGGTTTCTTAGAGGCCTGTCAGTCCCACTGGTTTTCAGACCACCTAGAGGGACACCTTCCCGGTGTTGGACACCAGGGATAGGGAGCCCAGTAAATGGTTCAAACCGATGATTCCCTAGGAAGGCCCAGAGCCTGTGTACTCTTTCCTCTTCTGTGCCCGCTCTCAGAAGGCGAGGGCAGCTGCACAGACTTACTTCCCTTCTCGTGCTGTTCAGTTTCATGTGCATCTTTCTCACACCTTTGGTTGTGTAAGACTTTTAATGCCAGTTTCCAGTTTGTTTTCAAACTGGAATTTTGAAATTCCACACACAATTGAGAATTGCTCCACACGTAGATGTATTTTTGATGTGTTAGTAGAGGGAGGTGAGCTCTGTATCCTCCCACTCTGCCATCGTGACCCCACCCCTTAAGTTTTTGGTTAAGTAAGTTCACAATTTTAAAAAAAAGCTTTCATTTAATTATTCTAGTTTTGCATATTTCAGAAGATGAGATAAACCAGGGAATTAAATATTATTTCAGATAAGAATTTTTTAATTTGAAGTATAGTTGATTTATATTGTATTAGTTTCTGGTGTATAGCAAAGTGATCAAGTCATATACATATATATTCTTTTTCATATCTTTTCCGTTATAGGTTATTATAAATAAGATACTGAATATATAGTTCCTTGTGTTGTACAGTAGGACCTTGTTGTTTACCTGTATTATATATAGTAGTTTGTATCTGCTCATCCCAAATTCCTAATTTTCTCTCCATCTTGCCATTTTCCTTTTGATAACCATAAATTTGTTTTCTGTGTCCATGAGTCTATTTCTGTTTTGTTAATAAGTTCATTTGTGTCATTTTTTAAATTCCACATATGAGTAATATCACATTATCTTTCTCTGACTTATTTCACTTGGTAGGATAATCTCTAGGTCTATCCATGTTATTGCAAGTGGCATTATTTTATTTTTTCTGGCTCAGTCCAGTGTGTGTGTGTGTGTGTGTGTGTGTGTGTGTACTACATCTTCTTTTTATTTTATTTTTTTAAGTTGTATTGATGTATAAGTGCTTCACAGTGTTTTTTTTTTTTCTGCTGTGTGACAAAGTGAGTCAGCTATGTGTATGCATACCCCCTCCATCTCGGACTTCCCTTATCACCCGCTTTCTATCTGCTCATGTGTCAGTGGACATTTAGGTAGCTTCCATGTCTTGACTTTTGTGAATAGTGCTGCTTTGAACATTGGGGTACATGTATCTTTTTGAATTAGAGTTTTCTCTGAATATATGCCCAGAAGCAGAGTAGCTAGATCATACAGTAGCTTTTGTTAAGAAACCTCCATATTGTTTTCCATAGTGGCTGTACCAATTACCATTCCCACCAACAGTGTAAGAGGATTGTCTTTTTCTGTACACCCTCTCCAGAATTCATTATTTGTAGACTTTTTAATGATGGCCATTCTGTCCAGTGAGAGGTGATAACTCATTGTAATTATGATATACATTTCTCTGATAATTAATGGTGTTGCACATCAGATAAGAATTTTTAATTGAATAATTAAGGTTGTACATATGCTGTGTGGCCTTATATCACCTGTATGTTTTATAGTGCAGAATAAGCATCATTCCCAGGTAGTTAGAATATCAGCAGATTTCTTAAGATACTACACTGTATCAGTAGTAAGCCCATGTTTTTCTGTAGCAGTAGAAATAAGATTATTCCTGTTTAGATCACATGTGCTAAGTTGCTTCAGTCATATCTGACTCTTTGAAACCCCATGGGTTCTAGCCCGCCAGGCTCCTCTGTCCTTGGAATTCTACAGGCAAGACTATTGGAGTGGGTAAGCCATGCCCTCCTCCCGGGGATCTCCCTGACCCAAGGATCAAACCCACAGCTCTTAAGTCTGCTGCATTGTCAGGCAGGTTCTTTACCACTCATGCCACATGAGAAGCCCACATAAGAGAGATCATACTTAATGGGGTCAGACCTGTTACAAATAGGAGAGCCTAGCAAGAGGTCAGAATAGCTTGCACAGTTGAGCCTTCTTTGGGTTCCCAGTCTTTGAAGAGAAATGACCTTCAGTAATAAAAGGAGTTAATTACTGATTGTATGTGGATTTGAAGATCTGTGACGTTCCTTCCACATCTAAGTATGCTTTCTTCTTATCTGCCAACAGGTACCACTGTAACTGCTTTACGATTATTTAAGAATCTACCTGTAAGAAAGCAATTTTACTCAACTGCTAAAAAATGTAAAGATGAAATAAAAAAGATCCAAGATCTCCTTATAAGCTACGGTATACTTAAACCTGATGTAAGAATTGTTTTTATACATAACAAGGTAAGTGTTATTGTACTTTCTACAGAATTTTTTGATATATGACAGTAATGGGACAGTGCATTTTATCTAAATCAGATATGTAAGAGTCTTTCAAAATTTGTCCACATTTGTTTAGTTTTTACTTTATTGTATAAAGAGCATCTTTGTTACCTCACATCTATATGAAATCTGATTGAACCTTTTATTTCTTAATTTCTAAGATTAAGTTATTCCACCAAGAGACTTTTTCATCCAAGAAATGTTTGAGTGCTTCCTAAGTATGATGACTGAGACTTGTTCTTTTCCTTTAAGAAGTTCACTGTTTAAAAAAAAACAACAAAGAAGAAGTTCACTGTTTAGTGATATTTTCTACCATTTATTTTAAATGGTTTCTTCTTTGGAAGAGTTTTTTGTTTGCTTTTTAAGGGAAACTCTACTCATTTCTTTCCATTTTTTCAGAGCAGGGCTGATAAGGAATTCCTCTTGTTACTTGATAAATCTTAGGGGAAAGGAAGGTTTACATATCTTCTGAATGTTCTGTTTCATAAAATTCCACATGTGCACCTCAAAATATTTACTGAAAGGAGAGTAGAGCCACACTGCAGAAGTTTGTAAACCTGGTGGGGAGTAGAGATGTAACATTTATTGAGGGTGTGCACAAGGCCAGTACCTATGCTAGGCACATGAAGCTTCTGTCACCCACAGCAGCAGCCGAGTGAAGTAGACATTTGTCAGCTTGCAGTGGTCCTTTGCGCTGAACCTCGAGAGGCTGGCTCAGCATTGCACAGCTGGCAAATAGTTGAGATGAGTTTTGAAACGTTACATGCCTACTGAGTGTAGATTCTTCACAGTCTACTGTTCTGTCTTCCTGTTTTAATACTATATCACATTGTGTAGTTCTTTTCTAGGTTTCAGAGCACTTACAATAACCTTGTAGGTTAGACAGCCTTACCTCTCTTTGTATAGGGAACTTGAAGCTCAGAATGATCTAAGGAATTGTTTTCTGTTTTGTTAATGAACTTCCTTCTTAAGCATCACCTAGCGGTTCCCTTATTTCGTCTGTTGACTCATGGCTGTGGTGGGTCTTTGCTGTTGCGTGGGCTTCTCTCCAGTTACAGCGAGCAAGGGCTGCTGTCTAGTTACAGCGCATGGGCTTCTCTTTTCAGTGGCTTATCTTGTGGCAGAGCACGGGCTCCAGGGCCTGTGGGCTTCAATGGTTGTGGCATGTGAGCTCAGTAGTGTTGGCTCCCAAGCTGTAGAGTGCAGGCTCAATAGGTTTGGCACATAGGCTCACTTGATCTTTGGCATGTGGAATTGTCCTGGATCCGTCATCTAACCTGTGTCTCCCACATTGGCAGGCAGATGAGGGAAGCCCCGTTTTCTCTTTTACAGTAAGTAATTCTGCTGAGATCCGAACCCTTTTTCATCCACTTTTCTTTCCACTCCATGTCTTTTTGCTTGCTATTAAGAAGATCCCATGTTTTTTAATTTAATTATTTTTGGCTGCTCTGGGTCGTCATTGCTGCGAGCAGGCTTTCTCTAGTTGCAGTACGTGGGCTTCTCATTGCAGTGCCTTCTCTTGTTGCGGCATGTGGGGTCTAGAGTGCGTAAGCTGAGTGGTTGTGACGTGTGGGGTCTGGAGTGCGTGAGCCGAGTGGCTGCGGCGTGTGGGGTCTGGAGCGCATGAGCCGAGTGACTGCGGCGTGTAGGGTCTGGAGTGCGTGAGCCGAGTGACTGCGGCGTGTGGGGTCTGGAGTGCGTGAGCCGAGTGACTGCGGCGTGTGGGGTCTGGAGTTCTGCCATATGTGCTTAGTTGCCCCGCAGCATGTGGAATTTTTCCAGACCAGGGATCGAACCCAATCTCCTGCCTTGGCAGGCAGCTTCTTAACCACTGGACCACCAGGGAAGTCCAAGAGGATTCTCTCATTAAACCAAGTTACAGTGGAATATTTATGATCAGAATTTTTAGTCATCTTAAAAAAATTAAAAAGAAAGAAAAGCAGTAAGAATAGTCAGCCACCTGTTACTGCTGGCATAGAGCTCAACCAAATGATACCTTGAAATCTCTTCCAGCTCTATGATGCTAGAATTCCTCAGGATGTTGATGGATGGAGGCTCATCCTGCTAATATAAATAACCCTATGACCTCTTGATCCAAAGAACATTTTGTTATTAAAAGTTGAATGTACCCAAGTTAAGAAAATATCAAAGGCAAAAGAAACAATGATCAGGAGAGGAAAACAGATGGAGAAAGGTAAAACATGAAGACAGGAGCTACATTTTTATAGAATAGTGACTGCAACCAAAGAGAGAAGTTTTGAGGAAGAGAAAGCAGACGGATAAAATAAGATTATTCTCTAATGTAATGGAGATGAGTATTTGAAGTCAAATATATATCTTCTGAACTTTGGATAAGTTTATTATATTATTTTCCCAACCTCTGTAAGATCATCAGTGTGGGCATTTTCTTTTGAAAATGGAAAGTAGTATTTTTCAATACACTGTATTTTATAATTTTTCAAGTACACCATTTCTGAGCTTATATTGAACAAACACAGGTCTCTCAGTGGGCTTTAGTAATTTCAGATGCAGTGCAAATCTTGGAGAGTATTGCACCATTAATGTAAGGCTATCAGAAGTCTTACAGTAAAATTATAAATCAGTTTGTGGACAGGAAGAGACACATGAAAAGCTTAAAGGAGGGTAAAAACCTTCAAGTGGAAAATAGCACATGAAATAGTTTTATAATAATTGTGGATACAGTGTGTTTAGTCCTTGTTTAATCAAAAGTTTCATCAAGCATCTTTTTTTAATGCACATGCTGAGTTAATTGGCTGTGCCTTCCTCCTGGGGAATTTGACATTTCTGAAAGTGCAAGTACTGTAAATAAAATGTCACTGTCCTGGCATCAGTTTTTAGTGTTGAGTGTTTAAATAGAGCTAGATTATGAGATCTGAAGATAGTGCTGTATTTAAAAGTTTCTTACGACTTTAAAATAAATTGTGCCTACTAGTATAGCCCAAATAAAGTCTTGTAGTAAAATTAAGCATTACCTACTATTACACAAGGAAATCATGGACTCTGTTATATTTCTAAGCTTTTTTTCTTATTATAAATTATTTTTTCATTCTTATTTAATATGCTGTTGTGCCTCAAATGTTAAAATATATTAAGTTCCAAAAATAGCATCAACACATTGTCATAAATCTCTTTGAACATTGAGTTCTGCTCTACTCTTATAAACATGCTTATGTTTGTCATACTTTATGTGGTTTTCTGAGAAATTTTTTTTTGCCTTAGCTTAAAATTTAAACATGGCGATATTGGTTTCTTTATTTGAAAATTTTTTCTACATTACAAACAATCATATTGCACATAATATGAGAAGTACTATTGCTATTTTGACATCTTGGATTAGTGTTCCTTCTTTTTATGAAGGTTTATAACCTGCCAAGACATTCTTTGAATACTGATAATGTTGATGTTCTTGCCAGTATGGTTATGTTAGAAAGAGGTATTTTTCTTCTTTCATCACCATGTTCCTTGAAAGCATATTGAATAATGAGACAGCCAAAGGGAAATAATTTACAAGTGGATTCAGTGACTTTATTTAAAGTAGATTTTATTTGGAGAAATGCTAGAGCCATTCCTTAGATAAGCACTACAGTCTTCAGCCTTAGTTTTGTAACTGAATCCTTGTGCGGTCCTGCTATATCTATTTTTTCTTTTATAAAATAGTTATTTCACAGAATTATGAGTTTTTCTCAGTTTGGTAAGATCTGAAACCCACTTAATATTAGCTGTTTCATGTGTTCATGAGTAATTTTTTAGAGCACTAGTTCAAACATAATGGTAAATATGTGATTTCAAATAATGGATACTTTAATACTTCATACTTGTTGGTTTTGGGGAATATTTTCCTTTGACTAAAGTATCATTTGTGTTTTTAACAATTATTTGTTATTTAATTCTGTCTTGATAATTAGAGGCCCATTGGTATTCCAAAAGCTGAATTGGATATTATGGATATAAGGCCTTACCTGTTACAAGAGGGAAATTAATCAATGGCTTTTTACCTATCTCTCCTTTATATGACATGACTGTTAAGGCTTATTGAGATCAGTTTATTTATTTTTGAAGTCTGGAAGAATGATGACTAAGAATGAGAAAGAAGGGATGCATTTATTGGGTAATAAACTGAAGATAAATAAATGGTAGTTTATAATCTGTATCCCATACATTTGTGGTAGTCCCTTTGTTCATTTTATTCTATTTTGCATCTTTTAGCCTTTTACTCATATTTTTTTAATGTCCCGATTTTGTTTCACCTGTGATGTGAGAAATCAAGGAAAAGTCTTTTGCCCATTACTGGACCAGTGTTAAAGGCCACCTCCCTCTCCCATCCCCTCCAATGTTGTGGAGGCAGTTTTATCAAAGAGAAATTTCAGTTCACGACTATGGTTTGAATGCTCCTTTCTTCTGAAGAATATATCCCTCCAGTTCCAACCTTGAAAGTTTGGGTGGAATTGTTTTTATTTCTTTTTTAGTTAGTGAAAGTGAATGTTCCTTCAGATATGTTTTAAGGTTAACTTGGGGCTAATTATCAATTATGATTGGTTGTTTGTCTTTTCATTTGTTTTTACTTGCAAATTAAGGATAAAATTTTTAATGGTTCTCATGTTTTCTTCTTTGTTATATTAAATTCTTTTACATTTCACCTAACTTCTGAGAAATACTATATAGAAAAGATGAGAGACATATATAAGTCTAATTTAAATTTAGTTGATTTCTAATTTTGATGTTTGCCAACACTATTTTTAAGACATCTTTAGTCTTCCCCTGTCCCTTAGCAAGACTTATTTATTGGAAATAATTTGCATTCTCTGTCCCTGTCCCAACAGCTTTTTGTGAAAGGGAGGGCAGCATTTTACTTATATCTGTTTTCCTTTTAATTCTCACTTAGTATTATAATATCCTGAATATGGATCATACAAAAGAATGAAATAATGCCATAGAGGTTC